TTGTGGCGCCAATCTCTGCTCCCATGTTGCAAATGGTGGCCATTCCTTTAAAGACAGAAAATTACATTTTAAAAACATGTTTTACACTGTACAACAGAAAATCTTTTATGGCGTTCATGTCAACGTCCTGCTTTAATTTAATGTTATCTAGTAATCCTAAAGTGAAATGAAAAATTCGGTTTATAGCAAAAATTATTCAGGTCCTAATCCGAGTCTAAGAATTGTATTTCCAAAAATATATAGCTATATTAAATAACATGGAAATTAATGTGTACATTTTAAAGCTTTTTTTCCTCACCTGTGCAGGAAATCGAGTCGACTCCTGGTCCATGATATTCTACGATGGCTCCAGTTCCTCCCTTCACTGTCAGGATGCCTGCGACCTTCAAGATGATGTCTTTCGGTGATGTCCAGCCTGAAAGATTGCCGGTCAGCTTCACTCCAATTACCTGAGAGGAAAATAAGGTCAATACAGTAATCCCTCTCGTACTGTGGTAGTTGTGTTCCAAGACCCACCACGAAATGGGGGAAAAAAATAAAACAGAAACAGAAGAGCATGCTGAATTGGCCACTAGTACACCGAGTACGCATTGTATTAGCCGATAGTATGCTGTGGCTTATACCAGTGATCGTTCGCAAATGTGCTAATCTCAATTTCAAAACAAGGATCCACATTTTTAGAGCCAATCTTTTGTATGTATAATGAATTTATAATATCTTTCAGTATTTAGTTTATTTTTTACTATATTCCACAATTTAGCGAAACTTTCGCAAGATCGGATTAAAAAAAATCCACGATGTACTGAGGGAGCTAAAGGAGAACCGTGATATAGAGAGGGAACACTGTAATTGTGTTTGTGTTTTTTCTGGAGGTGTTCAGTTGGACAGAACATTTTCTATTCAGCAACAGGAGCTAACAAAATATGGACTAAAACATATTAATCTAACGAAACACTTTGCACTTAATTCAAATGAACACACAGACCAGAGTTTTTGCAGAAAAAAAAAATCATTATTTGTGTCATTTGATCCCACGTAAAAATTATGAATTTTGTTTTCCAGCTTTCAGTGGGACATGTTACCAAAAAGTGAAGTGGCAACACTCACAAGTGATGCATTATAGGTTGCATATTGCTAGGCAATAAAGAGTGTTGCTTTTCTTACTACTGAAGAATTCTTTCTTTACTCAGTATTTGTATTTCTCTGATGACCAACAGGCCACAGATACCTTGGGACACTTGAGCTCCCATGGAATTCCTGCCATGACATCCACGGCATCAGCTCCACCCACACCGATGCAAATGGCACCAAGCCCTCCTCCGTTTGGTGTGTGGGAATCTGTGCCAATGAGCATCACTCCTGGGTAGGCATAGTTTTCTAGAATGATCTGTTTGCATGAGACATGTGATTGATTAGTATTGAAATTACAAGTTTAAAATATTTGAATAATTTCTTCCAGATGCATATGTATAAAACAACACCTGATGGATAATTCCAGAGCCTGGTTTCCAGAAGCCCACTCCATACTTTGCACCAGCACTGGACAGGAAGTTGTAGACCTCATGGTTCACATCCTGGAATGAAAATGACGACATCTCAGGATTTTCACGGTAGTTACATTATGGCAATTTGAATCATATTCTCGGATCTTAAGTGATCCCCCTGACCTTTGCCCTGGCCAGATCTTTAACTCCACCAATCTGGGCCTCAATCAGGTGATCACAGTGGATGGTGGAAGGCACGGCCACCCTTGGCAGGCCGCTGCTGATGAACTGCAGCATGGCCATTTGAGCCGTTGCGTCCTGCATGGCCACGCGGTCTGGATGCAGACGCAGGTAAGTGCGACCGCGATCAATGTCCTGGTTGTGGGCGTCATCTAGATGGCCGTACACGATCTTTTCTGACAACGTGAGTGGTCGGTTCAGTCTGGAATATTAAAAAAAGAGAGAATATTGTTGATTTTAAGATGAAGTTATGTGAAGAAAAGCAACAAAAAATATCCTGCTAATATTTTCTAAACACTAGAACAAAAACACTATGTCATTCAAATTGCTTGTTTGTCAAGGTATTTTATTATACAACTGTCATACAGTTTACAACAGAGTAAAGACCATTAAGGGTATATGGGTTAAAATATCTCAGGGCTAGCAAAAATAGTAACTAACTAATAGTAGTTAGTTAATGTCTAAAATACAGCAAAAAAAAAGGACAAACGTGCCACATTGATTAAAAAACAAACAAACATGCAGCCACAGAAATAATTCTGTGATTCAAAAGCTCATAGTACAATGAAGGTGAGCATAAACATGGACATATATGTCTAAAATAGGAACAGAACTCTGACCTTTTTTTCACAATGTCAACGTTGGAGCGGAGCTGGTCGTAGTTGACGTAGGACGTGGGTTCAAACTTGCTCATGGACACATTGGCCTTGGCCCTGTACGCTGCTGCTACATGCAAGCGTCGTGCTCCATGGCCCAGGGCCAGCTGAGAAAAAAGGGTACCACAAATATAACAACATGGTGGTGTATGTGTAAATCACACTGACAAAAAAATACAGAAGGTTGGCAAAGCAAAACAATGAATAAACAATCTTCCCTCTGGTGTCAGATGTCAGAGAAAAAGTGCTAGTAACCCCCCACTGATAAGGCCAAACACTAATTCTTGTGGAAAGAGGGGCTCAAGTTTCCTCTCTCTTGTATTCCTTTTCTGTTTTTCAAAAAAACAAACAATGGAAATGACTGAGCTGCTAAAGAAGTTTTGTTTTTGAAAATGTTCCCGATGTAAAAGTTTTTATGATTCAGCAGCTGAAGCCTACAGACAACAATCTGAAGACTTTACAAAAACAGACCACTACACAGATATAAACTATGGCATTTACACCTGGAATCTGTGAAAATCTGTCACAATCTTAAGGTCATGTTGAAGAATAGAAAGAGAACAAAGACGTAATCCTGGTACCAACTTCATGAAGTTTTTTTTTCTTCTGATATCCTTCTGTCTTTTTAGTGACTCCTTCACACACCCTGGAGCATCATACTCCAAGTACTCAGTGATTGTGGATGGGGTTCCATAGCTTGTATATCCTGGTGCTCCTTATATGTCTATATTAGGATTATTTAGTAATGTTTAGTAATGTTAGTAATGTGGTATTTCTTTCTTTCGCTCTAGTACAATCATATATGCCGATAAACATTTAGTCAACTACTATGTCCTTTTGGGCCTAATGGACGTGACACACATTTATATTTGATTTCCTTTCTACTAATCCGACGCAAAACCTTTCAACTCTGGTTTGGTGACTTGTTATTGCAAGTTAAATGTCGGTTTATTGCAGCCAACAGCCTCAAAGCTGCTCTAACCTTGTGGCTAACCTTGATTAACCCTGCCCTGACTCAACAGCTAGAACACGCAAGCCCTATTATTTATCAAGCTATTTGATTTTAAAATTAATTATCTGTTGACGAGAATATTATTAGGTCATCTTAAGAAACAGCGCCAGACAACAGTTTGTCCGCTAGATGCGCATCATGCAGCCCGAGACACGATGACCTCAGCCGGCGAATCCTTCACGGGCTTTGTATTAGCGGTAGTATTGTATAAAGTCTCCAGTCAAAACATAATATCACTTTGTTATTACTTTGAGCTGAAAGGCTAAGTGACATGCATATGTAAACAGTTATTATTTCATAAAATGACCTTTTTCATCTCTTACCTGAAGCCTTGCGACAGTCAGACAGTAGGTTGCCATTTTGTTCACTGACAAAGATGTGCTGGGCGGCTGTGACGTCACAGCATTATAAAGTGCAGCTTCGCAGGTCCTTAAAGAGCAATATTAAACTTGACAGAAAATACATACATATTACTATAACGCATGTATAACTAAAACTAAATTGACGTTTATTTAATATATTTTATTCAGCTACTGTACTATATGGTCAGATTAACTATTGTTTTTGTTATAAAGTGTATTATCTTGCATACCTTACAGGACAACCGTGATTTTCATTATAGCCTTGTACAACTTTTGACCAAATAAAACTATCACTGTGACTTTTTAACAATCATATTCTGCAAAAAAAGCAACAATTTAATAATTGTGTTACTAAAATCTGAAAGCTTTTAAATATTTTCAAGATCTCTAGTTCAGGTTTTTCTACCGTGTGTCTGTAGCCGCTAGGTGGCGGTAATTCAATTCTTCGAAGAGAGAGTTTAGGTCAAAGTTAAAAGTTCAACGTAATCGGCAGCGCTTTCTTGACGTTACGCTAACAATGGCTAAACATCATCCAGATTTAATCTTTTGCAGAAAACAGGCTGGTGTTGGTACGTTTAAAATTATTGTTTCTTTCTGCACATAACTGTTATTTCAGCGTAAATCGGTAGAAGGTCCTTTGTTGTTTAGATGACGTTAGTGTAACGATAGCTTCCAATATGGATGCCATTCATTCGTTTTAGCCGCGTGGCTAGCTCCAACACATGCCCATAAGACACGTATAAGTTGTGTCAAAAGTATTTTTTTTTTCTATTGTGTGTGTTTAGTCGCCGTCTACAATATCTGAAAGTGATTTAATCACTCTAAAACAGCGACGTAAATATCTGTTGCAAAGACTGATACTGTTTACTTTGTTTTTCTTTCGCAGCTATTGGGAGACTATGCGAGAAATGTAAGTAAACATAATATATCTGAATTGCTTGTGTATTAACTTAAAATATATACACATTAACATTGTGACGTTGTTCATTCAATATATTCACTCTATCCCCTATCAGTTTACCATAGCAAAAAGTTTTCACTGCATCTTCGTCCAGTGTCTTTGAAAACAATTTACATTATTCCCCTCCTCAGGTGATGGAAAGTGCGTCATCTGTGATTCCTATGTGAGACCGTGCACTCTGGTGCGCATCTGTGACGAGTGTAATTACGGTTCCTACCAGGGTCGGTGTGTGATCTGTGGTGGCCCAGGTGTTTCTGATGCTTACTATTGTAAAGAGTGTACCATACAGGAGAAAGACGTGAGTACTGTTGCACAGAAAGTAGAGAACATTTCAACAAAGTAAAACTATGTTCTGGTTTTCCTAACTATGGTATATTTTTCTATTTCCAGAGAGATGGATGTCCAAAGATTGTAAACTTAGGCAGCTCCAAGACTGATCTGTTTTATGAAAGGAAGAAATATGGCTTCAAGAAGAGGTGAAGGCATCACAGCTTAGTCTCAGGTTTTAGTTTTTACACATGTGCAGACTTTCTGTAAAACCTCAAAAGTTTTTGCTCGTCAATAAAATTGTTTTTTATTTCTTTTATTTCCGACTGATCAATTTGACTGTGAAAGGCTGAGTGAAATGAACAGGTTCTTAATGTGTTGTGGTGTAGTGTGAGGAAACAGACTCCAGAGAACTCCAAACTTTACCATGTTTTTATTTATTTACCTTTTGTTTTTACATATATATGCATCTGTTATATATGTCAAAACATTTACAAAGACATACAAACCAGTCAGATTAAAAACAATCCAAAGTTAACAAGAGAAGAGAAACAAACCTGGAGGCGGGTGATTGGTCAAATCCTTAAACTAATTACAAAAGCATCTAGAAATTACGTGCAATTATTTATTTAAAAAGGTTTGCTACAGTATTTTGTTAATTCTCATTCTTATCCAGTGTAGTATAGGAATTGACTTAGGACATCACAACACTATCTTGGAAGCACATCTTAACAGAAAATAAGTTCCATTGCAGTCAGAATTTCATAATTAAATGTTCTGAAGACACAGGTGTGTTGTGTTGAACAATGCCACCTGTAAACTAATAGACTTTGTTACATGAAATGGCTTGTGTTTGTGTTTACAGAGGATTTCTGGTAAAACACTGGTAGTTAAAATATCATTTGAATCTGAGAAAAAAGTTTAAGAAATGTGCAGAGATTTCATGGGTTTTGAACAAGTTCTACTGTTTGGATGAATACTCAGGAAATGTTTTACTGAGTGAAGGAAAGTGCTGTAGAAAAAGAACTTCTGAGTTTCTTTGTCCGCCTTCTAAAATGTGGGATTTTAAAACAGTACAGAGAAGCACCCTGGGCAGAACAGAATTTGAATAAAACTATTGCTTCTGTAATGGTTTTTAATGGAGTTTATTGAACTTTATGGTCATCTTTTGATGATTTTGATTTGAAGTTACTAAATTGTCATTTAGTTTGCTCTATTTACTAGCTTTTAGGCTGACTCCTTCAACAATGTCTCCATGTCTGTTTCCTTCACTATTCCCACTTTCATAATAAGAGGTGAGTTGTAGAAGGTAAACTCTGAGGCCACATTTATGTACAGTTCATAGATGTCACTAATGTGATGCTGGGCAGAGTGGAGAGCAGACCTCTTTATAAAAACCACTAGGTGACGCAGACAGGAAGACACTACATCAAAGAGGATGTGTGTCACTATACAGCTTTGTTCTGCTGGTTTCAAAGGAAAAATAAGAAACATGAAGAGAAGTAGCAGTACCACCAGACCGAGCTTATGTTCCTGGTAAGTGTCAGTCCAGACAATTTAAGAGAAAAGAAACTTTGTGTTTTGTGTCAGCAGTTAAACGGAACAACGGAACGGACAACGGAAATGACATGAAGCCATCGGACATAAATGGATTTTTATAAACAAATGAGCTAAATCCAAAAGGATCAGGTGAAGAAAATACAGACCCCACTGATGAACTCCTACAATAACATGAAAAACAAATACCTCAAACAAAACTGCATTGATTAAAATATAAACATCACAGATGATCTCCTCTGGTCAAATCAGACAGAACAGGCAGGGAGTTCACTTACAAGAAAGACACATGGTCATTTTATATTTCCTCACACACACTCACACCCCTAACTCAAACAATGGGAAAAAAACAATCTGATTATATGACGCATTTTGGTGTTTCCTCCTCTTGATCTTCTTTATCTCATTGATTCTACATTTTTCTCACAAACCAATCCCCCAGAAAAGGTTTTTGATTTCATGATTTGTTGGAAAAAAAATAAATCAGGTGTTGATACATGTCTGTCGGCACAGCACTTGAAAAAGAAGAGAAGAGTGACAGGTGGGGAGGTGGGGGAGGAAGAGAAGGTCGGCACACAGTGTGGTGTAGTATAATGTACCAAATGACTGCTGTGTTGAAACACTACATGATAATAAAAAAACAAAGAAAGTGTGGAACTAAAAGATGTTACACCAAGTCTTAAGAAAGTTGTTGAATTCAGATGAGGTGGATAAAAAAATGAAACATGATCAACTAAATCACAGCAAACAAAGGTCGGTTCAGAAGCTAGAAGGTGTTCAGGAAGTACATAGATGATTGTTTACTTGCTAAGAGTGTTTCTATATTCTGAATGTGTGTTAAGGTGTGTAAGGGTAATACATGAACCTTGGTTTTCTGACGAAGACAACCCCAATTTCAAGAACCCTGAGGAGCAATGTGTGGAAGAACCTGCTAATGTTCTACTGTCTATCGTGACAGTGTACGGCTTAGGTTATTTCTTAACTGGGACTAAAACCTGGTACTACAGCTCAGACAGGATCTGTTCTAGTTGTCAGTTCACTTCCTCATTAACAACAATACCTCCAAATATGCATCATATCACCACTAGCAGTACAAATGAAGAGCATGACATGCAGCAAGTCATTTTTGTTATTCTCACATTTGTCTGGAACCATACATATACAGAAGTCACTCTGGACTCTCCATCGCCTCCTCTCTAATCATTACATTTTGGGATAATGCCATTATATATTTGCAGCGAATGCATTCAAACCGGTGTCTAATTCCCCGTCTGACCAAGACACACGTCTCGCCACGATTATGTCCTAATAACCGAGTTTCCTCTCAGTCAGCTGGTCGGAAAAGAGGTTTCTGTGTCGGGCTGCTAGAAAAGGTCAATGACAGTCAGATGACACCAACGTTTTTAGTTAAAGCCCTAGTGTGGTCACTTCCTCTCTCTTCTACTACAACTGTCCAGACAGAAACATGACATCTTTCCAACATCTGCTGACATGCTTAACAACCAGAACCTAACAATGTCTCTAACCTGACTTCCAAAAAACAAAGTGACTAATGCTGTTTACTATACAACTGCATATAAACACATTTGTTTGTATGTTTGGTTTGTTGTGATTTTTTGTCCTTATAGTGATCCAAATTTGGCTTCATAATGGCCGACAACGTTCTTGAAGCGGCTGCACTCCTTTCGCAGCTCGGCCACTTCCACCCGCAGTGCCACGTTCTCCCGCTCCAGGAAAGCTGCTCGGACAGTGATCTGGTTTTCCTTTAGCCTGCGTGCGTCACGGGAGCGTTTTGCAGCCACATTGTTCTTTTTCCTCCTCTGCCAGTACTTCTCATCCTGGAGAGGCAGACAAGACAAACAGATCAGGTTAACCACGACGGTAGAACGAGCACCAGATTTTACCCGTTCCCTCTCCTTAGCAGCTGCAGCTAACTGGCTGTAATTTGACCTCCACTGAGTTTGTTGTGTGTGTAAACAGAGCAGTCGTATCTGTTGGACTGAGGAGGCAGACCTGTCTGAAGTTGAGGACAACATGAGTCACAGTGAGCTGACCAAACTAATTAAGTCTCTGGTTGTGTGCCCTTAAAAGTAGTTATGCAGTTAAAGATAATTTCACAGGTTTAATGATGATGTCAACTAATCCAGAGCTGGAGGAGCTACCTGAGCCGAACATCAAATACTGAAGTAGGAAACTGCAATGTTAGTGTATTTTCCAGACTGTATATGGTCTGGAGTATTAGTCGTATCTATCAATATGTGTCGTGAATCGTTACCTAGCTTTTATAGTTTGGATTTATGAATCACTGTGGAAAATAAGTGGCAGGACCAACCAAACTAGTAACAGTGCAACTTGTAGTCCATAAAATACAGTGAACCTTTTTATGTGTACAGACATAAGCGTCCACACAGGCCAATGTGAGCTTGTTTTCTTTAACTGTAGGACTAACCTGAAGGTCTGTGTTTTGGTCTCACCTTCTGCTCTTCAGGCACAAACACTTTTTTGGCCTTTTTGATCATTGGCTGCGGCTTCAGCTCATCTTCTGTGAACTTGTGTTTGCGTGGGTCAAACAGCTCGCCCCCTGGCACGCTCGACAGGACCAGGTCTGTGGGGTCTGGCTCGTAGCTGACACTGACCTTAATCTCTTCAGGGTCAACGGGCTCAGGAGTCGCCGGGTTTGAGTCTGTATTCACGTCTGAGCAGACAGAACAAAGGCACATGAGCAGAGAAACATTCAGACAGCAAAGGAGAGGAGGAGAAGAGAGGAGGAGGAGACTGTTCCTTTACTTTGTGTGGTCAATAACTAGGCTTTGAACAATAGCAGCATACAGCTAACTTCTGAAGGTCTTACGACTTGAAGTAGGCCACATTTACACCACTATGCTGCGTCTTTTTAATCCTAACCTAAAGAACTGTTTTTTCAAAATGTAAATTACCCTGGTGCCACTCACCTGTAGTCACTTCACAGATGATCTCCAATTCTTTCTTGATGATCACCTCTGTCTCACACCCGTCCAACTCCTGGATAGACAGTAGACCAACCGGGGATGCACTCACTGGCTTGGTGACTTTGGTGGACAACTCGTCAGACCCAGCCGGGATGCCATTTTCTATAAGGAACTCCTCCAGGTCCATGTATTCCAAGTGGAAGGTCTCGCCATCGTAAGGAATGGTCTTGTCCCAGATGGCTGGAGTCAAGGCGGCTGATGGACCCATACCATTAACTCCCCCCAACAGCTGAGCATTATCTCCAAGACCCAGCTTTTCCTTCTCCGTGTCTGAAACACAGGCGTTATACGAGAACTGCTTACACACAAACAATGTGACTGAAACTTCTGCTTCCTAATAAAATAAACACTGAATTAAGTTTTCTTCTCTTTTCTAAAGATCATCAAGGCTTTATACAAAGGAGTGCTTACGTCTCCCTTAGTTCTTAAACCCAAATATAGTGATAAACTTCAATTGTTCTGCCATCTTGTAGATGTTATAATTCAATAGTTCAACACATATATGGCAGTTACAATAGCATGGAATCCTGTGTAAACATTTCTGGTGGCTTTGGAGATCTTCTCAAAAAAATTTCAATTAATGAGCTCAAAGTATTGACAATGTTATATAAACTTGAAGAAAATGCTAAATTGTATTAAATCAATTCAAAAAATTAAAACACAAACGCAAATTAAATAAGTAATACTCTTATATAACAGATCACAGCTGTCCTCACAGACTTAAAACTTAATTTGAATTTACTAGGAAATTAATTGCATTAAAACTATCAAAACAAACAAAAACGGTCTTTATAAGTCGGTGGTCGGCCAAACATTGGTTCAGAAATTTACAAATGATCTTTAATTCAATCTATACATTAATACAAATGGGGTTTCTGTACAATTTAATTTAAACCAACTATTTAACTACTACGATATAATGGGACGTTTCTTTTTAACTACAATTCTTATCTTACCGTCATCGTCCAGAATATTTGGCGGAGGCATTTCCATTATTTTTTTCAGAACCACCGGGAAAGAGCTCGGGGCTGCGGAGGTCGATTCCAGCTTGAAAACAACCGGCTCCCCCGACATTTTTACCTTGGTTTTCGACGTTTACCGAAATTTCCCGTTTAAAATATTCTACGCTGGTTTGGCCACCGTCACAACCACCTTCGAGAACAATCCACGCAGACAAGTCACCTCAAACGTGGAGCCAATTTGCTACTTTGACCAAATTCTTTGGGGAAATTACAAAAGCGGTCACAGACAGGGGGCTCAAGCAAAGTATGTCACCTCCGCCTTCACGCGATTGGCTAATTACGACAGCTCTAATGAATATTAATGAATAGAATGGAGGGGGGCGTAACTTCCAAGAGGCGACCAATGGTGAAGGTTACATTGCAACAACGTTAGCTCGCGTTTGTTTACCCAGTTCCAGAGAGAAGGGGAAAACAGGAAAGACACAAAACAAAAGCATAAAATTATTATTATTTGTATCGTAAAATGTTATCATCAAGCTCCTCTAGTCAACAGAGTACCAAAATTGCATGATCGATGATACTAGGTCCTTACGATTAAACAGCAACAGCGACGTTGTCTCATCATGTCTTTAATCATTGAAAACCTCGTTTTGAGTTAAAATAATCTGCGTTTACTGCTTGAAATGTCAAAACAATATTCCCGAGCTGTCATTAGCCTCAGTGTATAGCATAAACACGAAAATGTACATTCCGTCCCCGCAGCTGCAGCAACAAGCGGTCTTCACGTGTTTTTACACGTGTACATGTATGTTACGTATCATCAGGTCCCGCCCACTGCATTGCGCTCTCAAGCGCAGGAGGGCGGGCCTTAGTAGGTGGCGGAAGTGATCGGGGAAAAATAAATAAAACAATATATTACATCTAATTCAAACCTAATTTACAGAAAATGCCAAAACAGCTAAAGAAAAACGGTAAAATTGTGAAGATCGTTTTAATCATAATAAATAAATAAATAACTCTGATCACCTTGTAGTGTTAAGTGAAAAGTATCGTTTAAATATACGTTGGGTCTTTAAAGGCGTCTCTAACGAAACAGTCAACAAAGAGATGACAAGATATTCCTGTTGTATGAGGTCATCAACAGTGACAGCAGCAGCACAATGTCTTTGTGTAATGACATTATTTCACCGCAATCTAATTATACGGATGGTGCTGTACACAGACCGAAGAGAGTCATTATGTTATTCACCACAAAACAAAGATGTTCAAAGCGGATTTAGTGGCGTCAATTAAATGTAGATACAAGGACACCTCGTACTCTGATTGTACTGAGCCACAGTTTTAAACCGATGCTACATTTGATATGGTAAAATATAATTTCTTTGCCTAGAAGAAGGGTAGGTTTGGTATTTTTGGTAAATAGATACTTAAGTTAAGGAAGCCGTTAGCAAGAATTCCAAAACCTAAGAAAACTTAAAAACAAGTTTACAAAACCTTCATATAATAATGTCTAGTTAATTTAAGAAATGCAAAAATAACCAAAACATACAATACTTAGCTATTTGCCCTGTAGAGCTAATAGTTAGACACACTTTTTAAAACTATATATATATATACATATATATATACATATATATATATATATAAAACTTTCAACGTATATGAAAAGTACCTAGAGAAGTGATACACACTCTTTTTAAATCTATATATATATATACATATATATACATATATATATATATAAAACTTTCAACGTATATGAAAAGTACCTAGAGAAAAACAAAAATGTGTAGAAAAAAACAAAACAAATTAAAACAACTTATAAATGAGAGAGTGTACACGCGTTTTTCCACAGTAACTGTTACTGTGGAAAAACAGTACTTCATTCTCACACCATTTGATTAAAAACCTTTGGATCCCAGCAGGAAGAAAATAACTCAAACAACTCAAAGTCCAGTTTATCTAACAGGATCAGATCAGCTGCCTGCAGACTCACAGCTCTTATGCAACACACACGCAGTTTGCCTAAAACATCCAGAACTTTCCATTTTCATTTTCTGAGGCTTTTGCACAAACATTGAAGAACAAAAACAACATGTGACAGTCAGTCACGTACTTACCACCATTGTTAAAACTTGGCAGAGTAAATGGATGCTCCAGGAGAGCTTTAAATATTTCCGGGACTTCTGAATTCATTGTCCTTTTAACCCCTAAAATATTTTAAAAAGTGAAAGTGAAAATATATCACGCTGGCTGACAGTTGGAAGTGTCAGAATGAAAACACTCCTGGAGGAAAGTGGAACGCTGCTCCCTCAAGAAAGTCCAAACCCTCCCGGGTTTAACAAGACTTCTGCACAGGTCACTGCGCCCCCCCCCCGACCTCGCTACTAAAATCCGCCTCCCTAAACACCTAGAGCCAATCAGCGTTCTACACATATTGGCGCTTATTGGCTACCGCGAGTGTCTTTCACAGCCAGGTATTTAAGGTTGAATAAACGTGTAACAGTTATTGTTGCCAAAACAGGCAACAATAACAGTGTTACCTGTTTGTAGGGGAAACAGGTCGAGAAGGACATGTGTGCTGTTCAAATAAAACTCTTTAAAAGAGCTGTTTATGATGTCAACATTAAATACATACAAAAGGGTTGACTAAGATTATATCATTAATAGTAGCAATTTATCAAAATTTGCCCTTTCCCATATCACATTTAGCCATGTAATTTCCTATACATATACAATCTTTGCTTTATTTAAAGTACACTAGCGCTTAATTAATCTATAAAAATGTTAAGGACCTATGGCTAAACATTTTAATCATTTTTAACCAAATTACAGGCTATTTTGCTCCTTTTTTATTGGTGACATTAGTACATTTAGTACATTTTCTGTCTTTGAGCTATACTTAAACTAATTTTTAAGTAGTAACTAACGTTTTTCAATTTTATCTACAACTGCATTAACTTAGTCATTCGTTTGCCAGTAAACTCTACTTTTAAAAATAGTTATTTATATGACTTATATAGCAATTTTCACTTGTATTATGTCGGTCCTTATCCTTAGCTATTTCACTTCAGCATTTCCATTTCTCTTGAAGCAAAAGGAACCTTTACCAGTAAGGTGACTGTTGGATAAGAAAAAAACAAACCAAACAACTTTCTTTTTAAAACAATCTTTTTAATAAATGCTTTCAAGAGATTTGGTCCACTTGTGTGATCACTAACTTCCAACCAGGGAGGAGAAAAGAGAAAACAAAGTCAACAGGAGAAAACAAATAGAATAAGACAACAAAATGTGTGAAAATACAGTACAAAAGAAAGGCCTTGTTTTTTCCACTTCTTACAACCCTGGTTTCTTCATCTGGTGTTGTTGAAAATAATTCTAATAATTTTCAAACCAACTGAAAACAGTTTCATAAAGATTTTCTGTGTGTGTGTGGTTATTGTTGCTACAAATCAAATGACACAAATTATATAAAAAGAGCCTGGAGGCTGGGACAGGGGCAACAGAAACATTTGATGACTACAGTCGGGTTTTTACTGATTTCGTCACATGAAATTTTGGAAGAAAATTACATCTCTAAAGAATGTTTAATTCAAAGTTTTTGGATCTTAAATCACTTTGTGTATGAAGATCAGTCACATGCCAAACAATGTAGAAAAAATTAAATATGTGGCAATGATCCAAGTTTGTTGTACTGTAAAAACTGTCTCCTCCAGGCTTTGGATTGTGTGACTGATTATGATACACAATCTAATTATACGTTACACAGTCTGACTGTGCAAACCAAAACAAAATGATTTCAAACAAAAAATCCATACATAATTTAGTTTTTTTGTAAATGTTACAAAAAGAGAAAAATATATATATAATTTGTGTCATGATTTGCTTTGTCCTTCAACACACAGGCACACAGTACATGAAGCACAGACGTTCACTTTTATCTCCAATTACATCATCATCGCTGCTCTTTCCGTCTGCACAAATGGAAGAGGAGCTTCCACCAACAATGTTCTGAAGCTTTTAATGTCTCACATCTGCAGGTCTTCAAAGGCAGGAGTTTAGAGAACAAGGATGGAAAATTGAGTTGTCCTGGTAAAGAACACTGAAATATGTGGTGCTCTCTTAATATTACATTCTTTCCTTTTTAAAAAAAAAAACATCCTGAATTAAAGAAATTTAAGATGGGGACATGTCACGGGTTCAAACTCTTCCACGGCCACAGAAAAGAAAATAACAGCTCTGCCATCTCTTATCTAATTTACCTTACGAGGGTGTCTAAGTTTTATAATAAGTATTAGGTATCATATATACTGTATATAGTAAGCAGGATTATACAATAGTAGGGTTTGTATCATCTTATAGATGTAGTATAATTGATTAAGGCGCTATAAGGGAGTATATAGGCCTCTGTGTTTGCTCGTTTCCACATCTGTCTTCTGACAGAGGAAACAAAGAAAAAAAAGCAGAGTGAGGAGAGAGTGAGCAGAGAGCTCTGTTCGTAGCTCAACAATGAGAAAGACAAACATTACATACTTAATCGTCACTTATCTTTTTCTTTTTTAAACCTCCAAAAGTCTAGGAACAGAGCTGGGACAAGGATGACACACAGTATGTAAACATCTGAATTCTAATAGTCAATATTCTCATACTAACCACCAGGAGCTAACATAGGTTCTGCTCACTGTCGCCCTCTGCAGCACACACAGACGCATATTTACTGTGAGTTATTATATTCATACATGGATACATATATAAGAGAGAGAGTTATACATAGCAATTAACATACATATATCAATAGCATATAGAAGAGAAATAGAAATAGTCAATAGATAGCAATCATTATAGTCATCGTATTCATCATAATACTAGTAGTAATAATACAATCCCTCAAAGAAGCTAATAGCTGGGTTGTTCCAGACAAGGCCTCAAGGACTGGAGAATGTGACAGCTGAGACTGGAAAAACTGATCTGGGATCTGTGGTCTGGGACAGTAACACCAAGGTAAGAATATGTGACATCACCTACACCACAAGGGAATGGTGTGTAAATAAGTCGTCTGGACTTCAGTGCAGTTCCTTGCTGTGCCACATGGATTCAAGGTTTGACTTGACTCCGTGTAGCACAGCAATTACACCCATTAAAAATAATTTAAAAAAACAACACACATTTACCTATCAGCCAAACATTAATTAAACAAGGAACATTCTAGGCTAAGAATAAAATTCTTCCATAGATGGAAACTTGAGGTATAACTAGATAAATTGAAGCTGGGCTGTAAGCTCCTTTTGTTTGTAGTTATGCCAAAGTATATTTTCTAATATTACATTACAACTGCCTACGAAGGAGCCGATAAGACTTAATAAAAATAAAACAGAAAGTTGCCAATTTATAGATTAAAATAATCTAAAAAAAAGAGTATTGATTTATCAAAAAGCCAAATCATAATGTATGTGTAACTTAATTGTTTTAAACGAAACACTCCTACCATACGCATGGTTTTTCACACTTGGTTGGTCCCTGTGGGTAAAATTGCACTTTTTCCCCAACAAAAATTGCAGTTATCTAGGAATAACAGCTTAAATTAAAAGTTCAGTGAAGTTTGAAAACAACCTCAACAATCGTCCTGTCCACAGAATGGGGGGGCGGGGGGGGGGTCTACAGAAAACCTTTGGGAACCAATCTTTTAACAATTAACTCAAATTCACCAATTAAGCTCTACAATGAAACCCTGTCTAGAACAACCTACAGAGAAGGAAGTTTGAAAAAAAAAAAATCTTTGAAAAAAACAAAACATCACTATAATCGTCTAGTTCAGCGATACATGTCATATAGCAATACCTCGATAACAAGAAGTTCTATGTAATCAATACAGGTTTTTCAGGTTATATATTTATTAAGCTTAACTGCTAAGTTATCAATTATCATTATTAGTATACCATTATTTGTAAATATGCATAATGTGTGTATAATGTATCAGAATACAGACATACCTCCGCCTTGTCTCTGTCCACATTAAAGGCTAGAATGTGAGGTTTCCTTTAATTCTGCCTTGGTGTGTGTTTGTGTGTCTATGTGTGACATGTGGTGTCTTTAGGCACAGTATGGGATGTGACTCATATCCCTCATCTTAGGCTAACGGGCTCAGGGCTTTACATAAAGGAGCAATCTGGCTTTAAGTTTAGCTAGTATAGTAGTCAAAGTAAAAACAAATGAGCAACTGTTTCTGCCTCAAATGTTTTTGTTTTTTTTTAAAAGTCCGACATCACTTTAAACCAGGTTTGCATTTCAACCAGTTACTGAGTGGTTATTCCTCAGCTTGGTGGTAATGACCAGAAGGGGGGGGGGGGGGGCGCAAAATAAAAGCACAACTCCATTTCTTTTTTCTCCTACACAATAATAATAATAATAATAATAATAATGAGGACTTTATTGATTTCACACTGGGGACATTCTTGTCTTAACAGCAGATGTGCTGCAACAGGGTGCCCCTTGGGGACGCCAAGCATGTGGTTCCTCTGGGAGATGAACCCAATACCTCTTTTTTTTTTTTATCTCAGGGGTATCTTAAGTCGTAGGGTACAAACCTATGTTACAATTACCATCTTTTTTTTCACCAAAACCAGAGCTTTAGTTGAAGTGAGGTCATGATTTTCTGAAATGATCTATTTCTAGGAAAAAAAAGGCTGAGCAGGACTTTGTTGGTTTGTTTCTCCATGACCTTAACACCAGCCTCAGCTGTGTTTGCTAAGCTTACAGCCACACAGCAATTGGTGGGACTTCAACTGTCAATATCAAACAATTGTACTGTCTGTATTCTTCCTGCATCCATCCAACAACACACCAACATTCTGAATAACCAACTTCCTTGTTTTTTTTTTTAAAAGCCAATGCAGGCGTTACATTCACAGAGTTCTGCCAATATGGCAGACAGTACAAGGCAGGACAGCTCCCCTGGTGTCGACTGAATGATGTTTAAAGTACATTCGTCTCCAGGAAAGACATTTAGAACCCTCTTGCTTCATTTCCATTAATAAAAACAGAAAAAGATGATTTGGTTCTTTTGCAGCTTTGTGAAGTCTTTTCCACCAGGAACAACTTCATTTAACTGAAAAAATGTATAATTTCTCTGCAGCACTGTGAGCTCAGTTTTCTTTGGTACACCAAAGTTATAACTGCAACCTGTGTAAAAGGATGCTGAGCTTCAATTGTGTTTTCTAGGATCACTGAGCGCAAATTCAAGAGCTGCGACCAGCGCGCTTGTTCTAGGACAGTGTCTGTGCTGAGCAAACACAAATAGAAAGAAGTTTCTGGTGAACAGGGAAGTGTCAAGTTCTAACGACTTTCAAGTTGATGACTTCAGTCAGAAGAACTCATTGTCTGGAGCTGCAGTAAAATGTGTGCGTAGCTTCGACGTGCTATAACTCAAAACTTCCTACTCAGAATTATTGGTGCCTGTATGTTGTGTATAACCTGTGTGTGTGTGTGTGTGTGTGTGTGTGTATAACCTGTGTGTGTGTGTGTAAGGAATAACCGTTCTGCTGCGTGTTTGTTTGCTGGAGCAGGCCACACTGGGGAAGTGACTGACTGTCAAGTGTAGCTGGTGTAGAAGGTACGCAGAATTCAGCTGCCTCTGATTACCATGGCAACACTCACAGATCGTCTCCATCTGACAACCGCCGTCCACCCTGCAACAACACACACCAACACTTTGTTAGATTAATGCTGTGTGGTGTTGTAGGGGCTACAACAAAGACCTAAAAATATGAACATATTCCAACACACTGTTTTATTTTCATATCTACAGAGACAACACACAGGTACAGTATGTGTTAGTAGTGGATGTTCTTCCTATGCTACACTGCAATATTAACTGTTGTTCAAGTTTTACATATTATCATTAGCAACATTTATAGACAACCTAATGCATAGAGTAACATTCACAAGGATTTTATTTTTTACTCTGCTGCTCTTTGCCCTTCACACATAAGACTTGAGGTTTTGTTTAGTAAGAGTCCTGGTTCTCTCCCACTCACCATGCCATCTGTGTAATCGGCTGTTATGTTGACCTGCTTGTCATCAGGGGGCGGGGTCACCGCAGAGCTCTCTGTCCGTCGACTCTGATTGGTGAGCTGCAGCCACAGTTCGTACATCTGTTGCATGTCTCTCACTGCAGAGAACGAGAAATTACAGACTTTGATAGTGACTTTAAAAAAACCAAAAAAAAACACGACAGCAGACAGAAATGAACTGCTTCGTTCTCCTTCTGAGAACCGTCCACGTACAGCTGTTGTTCTTCATATATGTCCACACGTCCCTTTCTTCCAAGCTGTGAGCAAACGAGCAGTTCCCAATATAGTGGCACTTCTTCTGCTTCATTACGTGTACACACATCTGCAGAAAACACAGTAAACAGGGAGGGGGCGTTAGAAAGTTAAACCAAAGGTTTACAAACAGGCAGGAATACATTTTCCTGTTAACTCGCTCTTTCTTACTGCGTCAGTCTAGTATTAAGTTCAATTATGGACAATCTAATGTTCCATATACTTCACTGTTTACACACAATTTGTTCATGTTGTGTCACAATATCTCCATTCTGGCACAGTCAATTTTTATTTGCAGACTTTTTTAAGTGCACTGTTTATATTTCATTTGTATTTGGTTTTCATTTTACTCTGTCACTGAGATTTAATGTTATTTTTTATTTCTATTAATATTATTGTATAGTTACTTTCGGCACTTTATTGTAGTACATTGTAGTTTTTCTTTGGCACACTGCCTTTAAATGGTCTTACTTTTTTTCTGCATTTTTGCATATGACAATAAAACAGTTTTATTTTGGAATGTTGACTCTTGATTAAAGGGAGATATTTCTCCTAATGGAAGTAAACATGAGGTGAGCTGTGAGGGGTAAGGTTTACAATAACACCTGCTCCCTGGAGGTGAAAGCAGAGTCAGCTGCACTCAGCATGTGAGGAGGGGAGGAGGAAAACACAGTTAAGAGTGCATAATCATTGAACTAGGGGCTGAGGAAACAAGAGAAACAAAGGGAGGGCTTACATCATATTGCTGTGGATATGTGCGAGAGAAAGGCAGAGGCCGGACAACAACCCACT